CGGGGTGACTAGAAGGAAGGTGGAGACACCACTTTTTACCCTGCCATGAGCCTCTTTGATCCTAGGGGTCTTCTCCACCCACTTTTCCTATTCTGGATATTGTTTTTTAAAAACCGGAATTCTGGAGGGGCACTACCCTCCTCTCTCCAGAATGGGTTTCTGTTCAGCTTGAAGCGCACTGGCCCTTGGTACCAGGGTAGCTCTGCTGGTGCTGCTCCTTGGGTACCTGCGGAAGCAAAAGGCTGGAGCCATGTGGCTGAGATTGTGGGGGGGAGGGGGACATTCCTGTTGAGAAATGAGGCAGTTCATGTGACTTGGGCAGGGTCCCACAGAGGCATGAGGTAGCTTGTCAGGCAAGGTAAGGGAATGGGGCTAGGAGGGACCAGGGAGGGGTGGCAGTAGGTGGTAGTGGTTTCAGGGTTGGGGCCTTGGTTTGCTGGCAGAGGTCTTTTGATCTAGCTGTTGTGTGTGTGGCTTACCCTCTGATTGTTCTGTTCTGTTCCCATAAGTAGAGTTCCTCTACTTATGTCCCCATCCTCACCTGGTTTGGTCTAGCATCCCCACCCAAAAGGCCCTTCCTCTCCTTCTGACCCCTCCTCCAAGAAGCCTTCCCAACTGCTCCAAGTCACTGGTCCTCCTCACCCAAGCACCCACAGCTTAGAACCTCACTGGTTCACACCTAGTATTGTACGGTCTCATTCATTCCTGCATTTATTCTGCACCTTCTGTCAGAGCTGCCTGCTCGGGTCTGGGCTAGGCCTGCCCATGGTTCCCATGGATTGCCTTGAACAACCTGGACAAGTCTAGTACTCATCCCTCTGGCTCCCCTGCCTGGCCCCTGGGATGGGGCAGACCTTGGGAGGGAGCAGCTGTTAGTAGCTCTTCGTGGCAAAAACTACCTGGAGGGGCTACAGCGTCCTCAGCCTGCGTGGATGGCCAGAGCGAGTGTGGCATTGCCAAGGATGCTCCAGGCCGGAACTGGAGACCCGAGGCAGGGGATTCAGTGGCACGTGCAGGCTCTCAGAGAAGGGGGCTCTCCCTGGGGGCTGAGGTGATCTAGTTCTTAAGGAGGAGGGGAGACTGCCTGAGTAGCAGGCTTTGCAGAGACACAGGAAGCAGGGCTTCCAGGGTCAGGGAAGGTTCTCTGTGGAGAGAGTGTGAGAAGGCAGGGTCATTTCCAAATGGATCTGAGGCATTCTTGACATTGGCCTTTGTTTATGCATCGATTGAATGAATGAATATCTTGGAGTGCTGCAGGCCAGCAGAGCTGTGTGACAGCAATCTACTCCTGTGTTTTCAGTTTATTCAAAGTCATTTCATAATGATGCTGTGAGGAGTATGGACCCTGGAGCCAGAAACCTGGATTTAAATCCTGCCTCTGCCACTGCCTAGCTCTGTGACTTTGAGCAACCTAATCTCTCTGAGTGTCAGTCTCCTTTTCCATAGAGTGAGGACAACAACAGCAATATCTACCACCTATGAAGGGGTTGACAGTTAAATATGCTCATATATGCAAAACAATTTAAGAACAGAATCCAGTACACAGAACCACTTACTGAATGCTAACTACTCAGAGTTGGTAACAGTAAGATGCTCTCCATCTTAGCCTTGTAGGTGATACAGAGGTTTGATTTGATAGCTAAGAAAACAATCAGAGAGGTGGTGTGACTTGCCTCAGGTCCCCAGTCAACAAGCCTGGAGCTCACATGCTAAGCAAGCGCTATACTACTGAGCCACAACGCCAGCCCTCAATTCACATATTTAGTATTAGTACTAGTAATAGTAGTAGTCACGGTATAATGAACACCTGGACCTGCTCTCCAACTCGAACACTGGCATCCTTTTTTTTTTTTTTTAATATTTTTTAGTTGTTGATGGACCTTTTTTTAAAATTTATTTATATGCAGTGCTGAGAATCGAAGCCAGTACCTCACCATGCCAGGCAAGTGTACTACCACTGAGCCCCAGCCCCAGCCCAAACACTGGCATCTTGATATTGATGTCCATCTCCTGGGCTTCTCCACATCCCATCCATTGGTCCCTTTTTCTGAGGCAACTGCCACCCTAAATAATGCACTTGACATTCTCCTGCCTCTTGGAAATCATATATGTGGGGCTGGGGTTGCAACTCCATGCTAGAACCCTGCCAGGCATGCAGAAAGCCCTGGGCTCCATTTCTAGCACTGCAAAAAAAAAAAAAAAAAGAAAAATGAAAACATTTTTATAAAATAAAATCATACATTTAAATGTATATAGATTTGTTCCAGCTATGTGCAGTCCTTTGGAATTTGCTTGTTTTCCTTCATCACCTTCTTAAGCTTCACCTGTATTGTTGCAAATAATAGTAGTTGTAGTTTATTCATCTTCACTGATGTATCAAGCTCTGTCATAATTGAGTGTATTTCTTTTCCTCCTGTTGATGGGCATTTGGGTTGGTTTCCCTTTTTGGTGCTTACAAATAATATCACCACAAACCTTCTTGTCCCATCTCCCAAGGCAATATTAGTACTAGTAATGGAAATAGTAGTAATCATGGTAAAATGAACACCGGGATCTGCTCTCCAACTCGCTAGGAGCAGAATTGCCGGGTCATAGGGCATGTTTGGCTTTCCTAGGAAATGTGCCAAAGTATCTTCCAAATTGGTTGGACCAGTTTACATCTCCCCAGCAGGAGATGAGTGTTCCCACTGCCCCCCTTTCTTGCCGTCTTGGTTTTTACTGACTGACTGTAAAGTGGTCTTTCATTATAGCCTTGATTTGCATTTCTGGGACTCAAGGCTTCTGGTGGGAGATGGGGGTTGAGATGGGCAGTAGCCAGTGCGCAGTGATGCTCACTAGGGGTCATTCCCTCTGAACCTCAGTTTTCCCAGTTGTAGAGATGCTGTCTGTACAGCCCAGAGTTCAGGGATGGGCAGGAGCAGTCAGGGAGGACTCCCCAAGGAAATGGGAATGGGGGGGGGGGCAAAGAGGGCTCAAGTCCCTGCACATTGAAAGCAAAAGGAGAACAGCAAATTCTAAGAACCCTGTGGTGGCTCTGTGTCCCCCTCAGGATGAAAAGGGGTGTTCCCGGCTTGCTGGGGGGAGGAAGCCTGTGCTTCATTCTTTGAAAAGCCCCCCTTCTTCCACAGCCCTCTGAAAACCCAGTCTCTCTACAGCCTGGCACCTGGCATGGAGCCTGGCATTGGTGAGTGCTTAACAAGGGTTTGGTGACCCAGGGAATGAATGCTGGAGGGAACACAAATGTGTTAGTTCCTCCTTCACTCTCG